GGGAAAAAATAAGAACCAAGATGCATTATGTAAAGGTACAATTCCCAATGAGAAATGTAATTGTGTTGTATACCTACAATGTACCAATAAAATTATGCCATACACTAAACAAAAAAAAAGAAAAAAAAAAAAAGAAAATTGAAGCCCACTGGGAAAGTGAAGAAAGAGATCTGCAGGGCTGGGGATTTAGCTCAGTGGTTTCGCTGCCTGCTGTACAAGCACAAGGACCCGAGTTCAATCCCCAGTACCCAAAAAAAAAACAAAATTCAGACTTCCAAACATGATATTAAAAAGAAAATCTCTAAAACAATAAAATAAAATAATATCATGAGGGCTGGGGATTTAGCTCAGTGGCACCTTGCCTGCCTCGCAAGCATAAGGTCCTGAGTTTGATGCCTGGTACAAAAAAAAAAAAAAATCACATATATGAGATAGTGTGTTAAGTATTAGAAAAGAGGCTGGGCATGGTTGCGCACACCTGTAATCCCAGCACTCTCGAGACTGAGACAGAAGGATCACTATGAGTTTGAGGCCAACCTGGGCTACATAGTGAGTTCAAGACCAGCCTGAACTACATGTCTCAAAAAACCAAGAAAAGAAAAAGAAAACACACTCAATAATTATCTGTGGGGACTGTGGCGCCCCTACTGTTGAAGAAGTCATGTTAAAGAAATGAGTTCATTTCCCGAAGCCCGACATACTTACCCATCTCTATAAAATTATTCCAAAATGTAGGAGCTTAAAACCAAATTATCAGCATTTGTGTGGAAACCTGGATCCAGCTGAGTGCCTTTGGCTCAGGGTCTCCTACCTGGCTCCGATCAACTTGTCATCCAGGGTTGCAGTCTCATCTGAAGGCTGCAGAGGGAAAGGATGTGCTTTCAAATACTCAGGCACCTGCTGAAGGACTCAGTTGCTTGGCAAACAGGACCCTGGGCCTCTGACCTCACTGCCTGTGGGCTGGAGGCTTCTCTCAGCTTCTTGCCCCATGTATCTTCATAAACAGCAACAGGGAGCTGGCTCCACCAAAGCAAGAAATAAGCCAGTCTTTGTAATACTGTCATTGGAGACATGTCATTTTTGCTGTACAGTACCTCCCATCCATGGTTTCACTTTGTGATTCGTTACCCATGGTCTGAAAATATTAAATGAAAAATTCCTGAAATAAACGACTTGTTCTAAATTACATGCTATTCAGCATAGTGTGATGAAATCTTGCCCCATCCCACTCGTCTGCCCTAAATAAATTAGCCCTTTGTCCAGTGTACACACACTGTATATAGCACCTGAACGTTATTAAGTAGCTATCTCACCAGACTGACTGTGGGTACACCTCAACAGTGTGTTCAGGTCACCTTTATTTAAATGATCCCAGAACATAAGGGTAGTGATGCTGCCAGTTCATATATGCTGAAGAAAGTTATAAAATTTGTTCTTTAAGTGAAAAGGTGAAAGTTTTCAGCTTACTAAGGAAAGAAAACAATTACAGGCTGAGGTTGCTAAGATCAAGAATGAATCCTGTATCTGTGAAATTGTAAAGGAATTTGTGCTGGTTTTGCTGCCACACCTCAAACTGCAGAAGTTCCAGTCTTAACGTGTGACAAATCCTTAGTTAAGATGGAAAAGGCATTTATAAGGCATGGTACTATCTGTGGCTTCAGGCATGCACTAGGGGTCCTGAACATATCACCTGCAGAAGAGGCTGCTGTAGTCATCTGATTATAGTTATCTGGTCACTAGGTCCAGATCATGCTCAAAAAAAGATTTTCTAAGACTGAATACGAGAGGGTGACTTTAGAAGCCATCTTAGAGGCTGCCTGCCATAAACAAATGTCAAGTATGGTACACAGGGTGGCAACAACTTCCAGAGCCCACTGTGTCCCTCTCCCTCCGTACTGCAGCCACACAAGCAGGGCTACCACAAAACAAAATTTTATTATACATGAAGTGAATGATATCCCCTAGAGTCTTCCCTTCTTCCTAGTTCTCAAATACTGAGCTCACTCCCACCCCAGGATTTTGCACTTCCACCAGATATTCAAAAGGCAGGCTGCTGCAGGTCTTTTGGGGCTCAGCATGAGTCACCTCAGCTCTATACTTTCCTGACCACTCTGTAATGCTGCCTCAGAAAACTCAGGCTCAACTGGGCATGGTGACACTTGAAAGGTTGAGGCAGGGGGATCACTGTGAGTTCAAAGCCAGTCTGGGCTACATAGAGTCTGAGGTCAGCTTGAACTAATGAGACCCTGTCTCAAAAGGACAAAAAAGAAAACTGAGGCTCAGAGTTCAGTCACTTGCCAAGGTCAACACAAAGGACTAGTGGATATTTTGAATTCACATCTCACCTGCAAACTTGCTTCAAATGGAGACTCACATGACAGGACTGTTTTCCACAGCACCCTCCCTCCCAGGAACCTTGACCTCTGGGCTGGCAGGTCAGAACTTTTTTTTTTTCTTTTTTTGGTTCCAGGATCGAACTCAGGACCTTGCCCTTGTGAGGCAGGTGTGGTGACACAGAGCTAAATCCCTGGCCCAAGGTCAGAACTTTTTTGATGGGCAGAGGGTGGACACACACAGGCTTAGGATCAGGAAGGAGTGTCAAGGGCAAAGACCAAGCCAGAGCCGTGCTACAAATCCAGCACCCCCGACAGTAGAAAGGAGCTCCCCTCAAATGCACCTTTTGATAGTCAACTGTTACATCAACTTGAGTAATAAACGCCCAACTGACTAGATCAGCATAGTTCTGGGTGTGGCCAAAGGGGCTTACTAAAGACAGAAGAGCCACCCCTGGGTGAGATTGGCACCAACAGGCTTACACCCTGAATGGAATGAAAAGGGGAAAGAAGGAAGTCTCCCTTCAGTTTCTTTGGAGGAGCTCATCATCACCATCACCTTGGGACTTCTGTCTCCAGGCTTCCAGTTCAGACCCTTCAGCTTCCAAAGGGACTCTGCAGTGAGCTAAAGGTCTACCACCTCCGCAACTAGATCATTCTGCTCTCCGGCACAGACAGCCCTTCTACACTCTTCCACACCTGATTGCAGGCAGCTACTGTAAGCCTACCTTGTAAATATATCTGTTACTCTAGTGAGTCCTGACTGATACTTTCAGAGCTGAGCTCTTCATCACCCATGAAGCCCCACCACTTCACAGCAATTTTGTTCTCCTTAGAACACAGCATTTGAAATTAGCTTGTGTATTTTATTCATCATTACATACTCTATCTGTAGAACAGTATTTAGCACCTAACAGGGACTCAGCAAATATATGCTGAAATTTAAGTGCTTTCCAAGCCCTTGATAGTGTGTATGGGGGGGGGACGGGGACACAGTGAGTGCAAATCTTATCATGCCATTAACAGAGACATTTTTTTTTCTCCGTTTTTTGAGACAGGGTCTCACTTTGTAGCACAGGTTGGCCATGAACTCATGCTGATCTTCCTGCCTCGCCACTGAGACATTCCTCTTTATCCAGGAAGAAAATGAAGCTCAAAGAAGGAATGTCAACTGCCTGTGGGGGAATGGAGTTTCCAAAGTGGAAACCAGGATTGGCTGACCACAGGAGCCACACATCACAGTCACTATGCCTGCAGTGCCCAGTATATAGGTGAGATGTTTCCACTCAACTATCTGTAATAACACTGCATTATTTAGTGAAGATGGCAATCCCTTTCTTCTCTCTTTCACACTATACAGGGAAAAAGGCTCCACTGGGTGCTGTATATCTTCATCACTTCTAACACTGACATTCCTCTTTAACGAAGAGTAAAACAGGAACAAGAGTGGGCTTGGAACCTTAGTAGGAAACAATATCCAGACAGAATGAGGTTTCCCTTAGGGGGCATCCATATACAGTACACAACCTGCCTAACTCTACACGGTAGCCCTAGGTTTCTATTTCCTGCCCTGAATGGCAATTAGAGACAAAATAGAAAATTACCAAAGCAGTAAATGTGGCTTGAGTTTGAACAGTACTACTACACATATATTTTCCCAAGGCTGCAAATTTCAAAGTGCCAAGAGGTCCAAAATCCCAGGATGTGCTGATATAGAGGGAAGGGAACCATGAAAGCAAAGAAATAAAACAGACAAATGATTGTGAAAAACCACACCTCAAAAAACACTTTAATTCCAGCCTAACAGCGCCAGGTGCAATGTCTGGGGACAGACTCTGGGTACAATGCTGTGTGGCGACCACGCATTCACACACGGCTCCAAGAAGGCCCCCAAAGGGGGACTTACCTTAAGGGACTGAGCCAAAGAGGGGAGGGGAGGCCCCAGAACAAAGGCAGGGGTAGACCTGGGGACAAGGCGCTACTTCTTGGCAAAGGAGATCTTCATGGCGTTGTTCTGAGTGATCTTAAAGCCCTGCAGGGCATCACGAGCTGCTCCTGCCTGCACCTCGTTGTCAAACTCCACGAAGGCGATATCATGCCGACCAGGCACCAGGCGGACCTCCTTGAAGCCAGGGAATCTGAGAGAAAGAACAACAGAGTTCAGAGACCCAATGCAGCAACTGTCCCTAGAATTTTGGCTCCCAGTGGGGAGAGGACAGGGATGATGCTGCCCTCCTGACAATGCATAGGTAGGCCCTCCCAACAAGGGACCACCCACCCAAAATATATCTAGTGATAAACTGTAATATAAAAATCTTATCCACCCCTGCAACCACAACCTAGATCAAGACCAAACTCCTATCCTTCCATCACAGCCCACCTCTGCATTCGGAAGCAATCCCTGTATTCACTTTTATTGTTGTTGCTACTGTATAAGATTTTCGGGACAGGGTCTCACTATGTAGTCCTGACTGGGCTTGAACTCCTGATCCTCCCACTTCAGCCTCCAGAGTGCTGGGATTACAGCGTGTGCGACCATACCTGGCTCACTGTGCCCACTTTCGTGACATGTACTTTCCTTAATTTGCTTCTTCTCATTCCTTACCGCCTTCTCCATTATGCAATCCTCATGTTTACTGGGCACCATTTTCCACCCTTATCTTCATAAAATACGTATTGTTTTATGGATATTGTTACACGAGTAAGTTGTTTTTCTACTTTATTCGGTCTCAAAACATTTCCTCTCAGCAATATAAAGAACCATCCAGCCGGGCATGGTGGCATACACCTTTATTCTCAGCACTACAGAGGCTGAGGCAGGAGGATCATTTCTAGCTCGGGGCCAGCCTAGGCTATAGTAGGTTCAATGTCAGCCTGAACTACACAGTGAGACCCTGTCTCAGTAAGTAAAGTAAATAAATAATTAATAAATAGGAATTTCTATAGTACATATGATCAGAAGTACAACTACTGAGCACCACCCCCAGACCGCCCAGTCCACCCATTATTTGAAATCACACTGCAGAAGTGTCCCAGGGCTGTAAAGGCCATGGTTATGAGCTCTAGAAGACAGAATGGAAGTGAACAACAGAGAGAGAGCCTCTCTGGGGCTCCTCAATGAAAATTGAAACCCTCAATTTGGCAAAGATTAAAACTAGACCTATATCTCGCACCATGCACTAAACTAAAATCAAAATGGATTAAAGATCTAAATATTAAAATAGAAACTCTGAACCAG